TATTTTGGTTTGTTGTTCTGTGTTTGTGTGTGTGTCCGTGTGTGTGTTTGTGTGTATTAGTATGTGTGTGTTTGTGTGTATTAGTATGTGTGTGTTTGTATGTGTGTGTGGGTTGTGTGTTGTAATGTGTATGCTATTGTGGTTACGATGAGAATAAATCCGACGACGATGATGAATGTGCTGAGTACGTCGCGTGTGTATAAGTATGTACGTGCGTTTGCTTGCGTGGGCGTGCATTTGTGTGTACGTGTGATTGTGATCGAGGTTATGATGATGATAAAAACGATGATGAGGATGATTGATTGATGATGATGATGTGATGATGATGATGATGATGATTATGATGATGATGAAGATGATGATGCGGATGGTGATGATGATGATTATGACAACTTTATATTGATTCCGCCGAAGATAATAAGGTTAGGCTTGATTGAGTCTGATTTTTCTTCGTCTTTTGTTTATCTTTTTAATGTTATTTTTATTATTCTTAGTTTTTATTGCCTATAATAATATTTATAAAATTAATAATAGTAGTAGTAGTAGTAGTAGTAGTAGTAGTAATAATAATAATAATAATAATAATAATTAACTTAAGAACTATAGGAACGGGATCAATTATGAAAACGAAACTGAAAAAATTTGAGAGATGGAAAATTTTGAAAAATTAAAAAATAATGAAAAAATAATAATATCAATAATAAAATAATAAACAAAATGAACTGATAGACTGATTGCCAAGCCATTAAAACGCCATCTGTCAAAATGCCACTGTTTCAAAATCTCAAAATAATCCATCAATAATGTTGTTTTTCATAAATAAATTTCTTATATTATTATTATTATAATATATTTGTTTTTTGGTGTTATTATTATTTGATTATTTATTTTTTTATTTATTTTTTTTAACTTTTAAAAGTTAAGTTTATCCGGTTCGGTTAATTAACACTCGATTCTTTTTATATGGCTTTCGTTCATCAGTTTCAACTTCCTGGAATGATATTTCTAGAGATAATACAAATAATAATGATGACGAAAATGATGTTGTTGACGATGATGACAACGGCGATGAGGATGACGATGATGACGACGATGATGATAGCAAAAATTAAAAGGACAGTTGCGGAGCCATTGGAGATAGCAACTACCATCAACTTCCAATACGAGAAATATAATAACTATTGACACCCGAGTGGAAAATTGCATTGAAAATCAGGACAGTAACACTGTTGTTGATATTAGTTGTTCAACTTAATATTTCTATTTTAATTTTTTTTGTTTAAAATTTCAACAGATGGCCGGTATTGTAGCTTCAACATTGAGAAGGAAGGCTTTCCATAAAAGGTTTTTATTTTTACTTTAGAAATATTGCAGTGTATTGGAATGCATTTTTTTTCAACAACTCAACGTATTCAACCGCTAATACATGAACTTCAGGGCTCAAGACACAAAGTACCAGGCGATCGATCAAGGTCACACAAATGTCAGCCCCACTGATTCAAGGTCAAGTTCATCGAGTACACTGAACCGTTTCGAATGTCGGTCCAACGTCGGTAAAACCCCGAAGGGGGCCCAATTGTGTCACGTCGATTTTTGGCCCCGCTGTCTCAACTGCGCCCATCCGCTGATCGGCGTCAGCAACAAAACCAGCGTCACCAACAGCACCAACCCTACAGCCAACAGTAGTAACAAAAGCAGCCACAAAAGCCACCTGAGCAGTAACCACAACATCAGCAACAACTTAAACCCCGCGTTGTTGACTGTTCCGCAAGTTAGCAGCGGCAAGAGAAACAGCAGTGTGGCCGGCAAGAGTGGGACGAGCCACTTGCAGCAGCTCATTCAACAACAACATAAAGAAGAAAACATCAAACTCGCTCAATTTGAAAGCTTCGAGTTGGTAGCTGCTGTTGTGGCTGTTGTGATTGCTTCTGCTTCTGTTGTTGTTGTGGTTGTTTTTGGTGGTGGTGGTGGTTGTTGTGGTGATGGTTATCCTGATGATAGTGATGAAGAAGGAAACGGCGATGAACATAGAATCCATGATACATATAAGATTCTATAAAATCAGAAATATTGATAATACAAATAATCTCTGCAACAAAAAGAGCATAAAACAATGTACACGAACAGAAACACATAATCAATACAAACATAAAACAAACGAACGAACGAACGAACGAACGAACAAATAATGAAATAAAAATAGGCTGCAGATACACAAACAGACAATGTTATAATATAAAATCATATTTCACTCTTCATGACCATGCAAGAGATACTAAACAGAGAGATGCGTTCGTTTGTTCGTTCGTTTGTTTGTTCGTTTGTTTGTTTGTTTGTTCAATTATTTCATTATTCATACATTCACTATTCATTCATATGTTCCTTCATTTATTCGTTCATTCATTTTATGTCCATTTTTCGTTCAATCGCTTGTTCATTCATTTGTTCACTCATTGACTAGTTTGTTCAACCGCTACATGTTCATCCATTCGTTCACTTCATTTCTCTGTATGTTTGCTTTAATGAACATTTTTGTGAACAGTTTTCATGCTTTTGTGAACATTCGAGTTATTTTATTGATATTCGATATCACAATAATACAGAATATGGTAGTTTATATGAAAACTCTCTCTCTCTCTCTCTCCCTCTTCACTTTTTTCTTTTTTTATTTCTTTCTATCTCTCTTTCTTCATATACATATATACAGATATTTATATAATATATAATATATATATATATATATATATATATATATATATAAGTTGTAGCAGTATATATAAAAACATCTTTCTAAACACGTACGGATATTGTTGTTAGCGTATTTGAATGAGTGCACACATAATAGAATATTTTAATTTTAAAGTAATCTTTACCATCAGACGTTTGATCATGATCATCTTGTCATTTTTATCAGCGTGACGTTAGGGTTTTAATCATTTGAATCGTCATCATCATCAATATTTTCATCATCATCGCCATCGTCACCATCGTCATCATGAACACACACAACGTACCCTCTCTCGCTTATCATTATCTCCATCCTAATAAACATTTTCTCTTCTTAGCATTCAGGTCCTACACTATCTTATTCCTCCATCAGCGTTGTACTTGCCATAATTTTTTTCCCCACAAACTCTCTCCATCCCTCTTTCTTTCTCTCTCTTTTTTTTGCTCTTTTACTTACTCAAATTTTGATTTTATCACACTTCTTCTTTCTCTCTTTATATTTTTCTATGTATCTGTAAAGTACTTGTGTGTGTGTGTGTGTGTGTGTGTGTGTGTGTGTGTGTGTGTGTGTGGGACGTGATGTTTGATCTAGCGAGGTGATGTCACAAGCTCTAACAGCAGTAGTATTACTACTGTAATGTGTTCCATAATGTGATGTGACCATCTAATTGTTGTGATGCGTTCAATAGTTGATGTGGTGTCTGAGTTGGATTATGGTTAAACTTGCCCCTTAGCTTTCAAAACTAGAGAAAAAAACAGCCAAAAAATTTGTATTCCCAGCCAACAATAACCACCGCGTCCAATAATGAGAGAAAAATATAAGTGTCGATATTATTGTATAAATCTGCAAGGGTAAAATATACATAAAAGAAGACGCACATAAATACGCACGTACAAAGGCATACATACAACCCAGTACAATACGCATACACACACGCCTACACGCATGCACACAAACATACACGCATACACACACTCGTGCGTACGTGCAATTATTTCTCGAAAAGAATATGCGCATACTAACTGCTTGATTAGAAAACTCGCCATTGTGAAGGAATCCAACAAATGCATGCAGATATATAAAAACCACACCCAAGCGAAATTTAATATACATTTAAAAACACACACACACACACACCCACACACACACACACGCACGCACACGCACGCACGCACACGCAAACACACACACGCACACACGCGCGAAGAGGATGTTGTGGCATGAATTTACGCAAACTCGATACGTTTGTGCAAATATAATAAAGTGTGCGAACGTTTCTGTGTTTCGACGCATGTCTACTTTTATATTAGTCAGTCAGTGTTTGTATGTCTGTTTTTGTATGCATGTATGTTTGTATGTGCGTGTGTGTATGTGCGTGTGTGTGTGTGTATGTGTGTGTGTATGTGCGTGTGTAGATGCGCGCGTGTGTGCGTGTATATATAACCACAGCGTACACAACATATACGTACACTGATAGATTAAGTGTACAACAACTTTTTCAGAAATTATACATAATACCGTGGCACCTGATTACGATAACAACAACTTTACAAATACAAAAAGACATCTTGACGCAAAACAACAGCACAACAGCAACACCAACTCAAACACAACAACAAATAACAGAAATCCAACAACAACACAACAACAACACAGTAACGCAACAACAAAATGACAACACAAGTTTTATGGTTGTTTTGTGTGCTTGTTGATCCAACCCTGCAGCTATAAAGAGCAAACTGAGATGAATATAAAATCGGATGAAGGGTAACAGAAAGCGACACAAAATCACTTGCACATACCTTCTTAAAAACTTTTTTTTTATTTTATACTATAAATAAATTTATTTTTTTAATAATTAATAATTTTTTATAATTTTTTAAATACGAATTAATAATTATAAAAATTAATTCGCCAGTACATTAGTCCCGAAAGCGAACGCCTGGTTGCAGTCGAACCCAAACATTCGCCTCATCAAGTGCGAGACCATCGAGAAGAAGGTGTCGTCACTGGATGACGTCATGACCGATCACGTGATGTTCGTCCCCAAAAAACGATATGCCATTTATCTGAAAGGCCTTAGGTAGGTTGATTGTTTGGTTGGTCGGTCGGTCGGTCGGTTGGTTGGTTGGTGGTTGGTAGGTTAGTTGGTTGGTCGGTCGGACGGTCGGTCGGTCGGTTGGTTGGTTGGTTGGTGGTTGGTTGGTCGGTAAGTTGATTGGTTGGTTGGTTGTGGTTGGTTATGGTTGGTTGGTTGGTTAGTCGGTTGGTTGATTAATTGATTGATAAACTGATTGGTTGTTCGGTGGTGAATGAATGAATGAATGTGTACAATCAGACGCTAACAAATATTTGAGGAGGAAAAAATGAATATGCATATAAGTATCTCTGCTTTGATTGAAACATCTGCAACAACAGCCACAACCACAGCCATATAAATACATCAACAACAAAACCAACAACGAAGAAAGATTTTAAATAACGCTCCTTTGTTAACACAAATCACAATCCAATCTCTTCATACATTTTGTCGTTATAATTTAAAAACCAAGCATAGCAACTGTTGTAAATGTTCATTCATCATTTGCTGCCAACAGTTTTATGCATATTTTTCTTCTGCAAACTGTGACACATGAAGCCATCATTTGTGGGTTCCTAAAAGCCAAAGATTAATAAAAGACGAAACAGACCAAAAATTGGCGTTAAATAAATGCTAATATTGATTATGATGCAAATAATACCGTTGCGAAAACTTGAAAAGATACGCTAAAAATTACTTGAAAAAAAGGGATGAAAAAACATGAGATAAAGAGACAGAAAAAGAGAGAAAGAAAAAGAGAGAAAGAAAAAGAGAGAGAGAAAGAGAGAGAGAGAGAGAGAGAGAAAGAAAGAAAGAGAAAAAGATAAAATGATACACAAACAAAGGAAATAAAGTAAAAAATGAATGACAAGTGACTCCAAAAAACTAAAAGAACACAAACTTGAAGGAAGAAATCAAGAAAGACAAGGGAGATAAAATGATAAGAGAGAGAGAGAGAGAGAGAGAGAGAGAAAGGAAGAAAGAAAGAAAAAGAGAGATAGGGTAAAGTTCTGGAAGACATCAGTTTAAATTAGACATTTCAAATTAAACCATTCCATGTAAAAACTTCTGCAGCGTCTTTTTTTATTTTGTTTGGTTTATGCATTTTCTGCTTTCGTTTTAATTTCAATTTTCGAAAAAAAATTTTGGCGAACATACTTTTTAAAACTTTCTAAATTTCTGGGAAAAAAATATTCTATGAAATTATTCTTTTGAAAAAATAGTTGAAAGGAGAACGACTGAACATGAGAAAATAAAACACGGAGCAACAGTAATCATACAATTTTTCAGCCATTTTTATTATTTTGACGAAGTGTCTTTGATAAAACAATTTCAAAACAATTTTTCCATCCATTTGACATCTGATGATACTTCTCAAAAAGATGACGACGACGACGATGTTGTGATAATGTTCTTGTCAAGCCGCAAGCAATGATAGAAATAATAATAGTAGTATTAAATAGTAGTGATAACATTAATAATAAAAATAATAAGAACAATGACAAAGATGACAATGACGTCAAGCATGATAATGTTTATGATAATTGCGTAGCTGATAAGAGAGGAGGGTGAATGTGATTTTATGCGGGAATCTAGTACGTAGTGTTAGGTAGTATTGATCTGTACAACGCATGTGCGCACGTGCCTACTTAAATGTGTGTATGTGTGTGTGTGCTTATGTATGTGTGTATGTATGTATGTATGTAGAAACTCGAACATAACAAGCGATCAGCGAGAGTCTTCAGAGGAAGAGTTTCCGTCAAGGATTGTTTCGGCCCATTAACTTCCTGCTCGACACTCTCGAAAAACAGAGCCACATCCAGAGATCAGTTGGATGTCTCTTGCTGAACGAACAATTTGCCTCGCTTTGAAATCACAATCTTTTAGACTGAAAAATTGTGCAGGCGTTCCAGACAGTGCACATAAAAACGTATCCCGATGTGAGTTATACCGACGAGCCAAGTACCACGCTAAGCCGAATCTGGGAGTGTTGAGCAATCGGAAGCCTTACGAGCACAGCACACAAGCTCGTCTCTTAACTATTTAAACTTGCATTTTATTTTCTTCCTACATAAACATATCTATCATATCTATGTTTTTTATACAACTTGATCGTCTTTTACCTGCCAAACCCAAATCCTTCAAAAAGCTGTACACTGAACAATAAACAACACCTCTTGCACCGACCTCTACTGCTTACAATAAACACCTTAACCCGCGTTGTTTCATCTCACTAACAAGCTCTTCACACTTGGCTCCTGTATCCTTTATGAACGATGGGTTGTTCCTCATACTCTCCAAATCTGCCATGACCTTTCAAAAATACTTTTTCATCATGCCAGTTTGAAAGACGTTGATGAAAAACGCGTGTAATTGTATGGATGTGTGTGGATGTTTGTGTGGATGTGTGTGTGTGTGTGTATGTGTGTTAGTGAGTATTTTTATAGCTGCAAGAAACTTTGTGTTATTGGAAAGATAAATTACTTGAGACAACAATGAATGGGCAATACATAGACTTAATGAGATTTGCTTTTAAATTTTTTAAGTAAAAAATTTTAACGAGCAGAATGCAATTAATAAACTTTCTTTTTTTTTTATTTCCACAGACTCTGGTACATACACACGCAACCACCACAGCAACAGCAACCACTAAACACCACAACCACATCAGCATCGATCGCAGCTTCAGCAACGCCAAACAGACGATACAACTCGACTACCACAACCACCTCAACGACAACGACGACTACCGGCATACTGAAACAGCACTCAACGACAACAGCGTCAACTGCGACAACTTCAGCAGCTCAGCAACAGCAGCCACAGCATCATCATCAGCATCAACAATTGCATCTACCACCAACGGAAATTGGATATATGAACGTAATACCCAGGTTCTTCCATTTGCACGTTTTTGTTTATTTGCCTATTTTACACGTTCCCAGTTTACGTGGGTTTCTATTTTTAGTTATAATAGTTATATTATAATAATAATTATAATATAATTATAATAATTATGATAAACAGTTATAATATTTGCTGTATGATTATACTTTGGTATCTTGTAATAATTTTTACCTAACCACAAACACAAAACCCCAACAACAACGTCATATTAGCGTCATCATAATTATCAACATCAAAACACCACACACAAACACACACACGCACACACACGCACGCACGCACACCACAACAACACACACACACGCACGCACGCACACCACAACAACACACACACCACAACACACAACAACACACACACAAATAGATGTTTAGACTTCACAGGAAAGTACCCCACCTACGAGAACCTTCCAGAAACTTACTCAGCCATCAATGCCTACCTTTCAAACAATCCCCTCGAAGGTCAGTCTTTGTCGCAAACCACTAGCAGGTAACCAGTGGCGGGTCTAAGAGGACAAAAAGTCCAGTGCCCCTCCTTTTTGTGGGCAGTATTTGTAATAAAAATCAGTACAACTCATTGTTTCAATAGAAAAACCACCGTTTTAGATCAAAAATTGACGAGAAATAAACATGAAAAACAAAAACGTCGGCAACACCTCCACAAATGTTGGCCTCCCATCCGTCAAAATTTTGCCACCCCCATCAATATTTAACTTACGAGATCCGCTACTTTAAATAACTCATAAACTACTCGAAATAAATTGTAGTTTTTCTGGTAAGGTGGTTGTCTCATGTGTCACAGTCATTTGGTTCAAATACAAACGGAATCTTTACTCATTATTACTATCACCGAAGGTAGTAATTATGACGTGTGTAATATGTCAGTAGGTAACAAGTAAATTGTAATTAGGTTGAAAACAAACAAAAAGTCAAAAACATTGGAGCATTAGCTCCTAAATTATTTGTTTAAAAAAAACATCAAAACTAATGACGCGTGGTATCGAAAGATCGTAACATGTCGAAACAGCGTTGTGAGTCGTTTCGAAGGTCATTTAAATACCATTTCAAGGTCGTTTTCGAGTTCGTTCGTGACGTCATTTTAGTTAATTTAAGGGGTAATATTGTATGGCGAGAAATGCGTGTAATGTTATGGGTCAGTGGTGTAGTCGGGTGGTTTACACACACACACATACATACAGACACACACACACACACAACACACACACGATCCTGTTGAATGTTATTTTAGTACTGTTTAATAGCTGGTTCATTGGTTGTATGCACGTAGTGATGACGATGGCGATGATGAGAATGATGGTGATGGCGTTTGTGATAATAACGATGATATTAAAACGATGACAAAATATGGTGAAAATTGAGAAGATGACTATGAATGTGATAGTGACATTAACGCAAGAATATTGATGGTGACGATGATGGTGACGATGATGGTGACGATGATGATGACGTCAACAATTGTGATGAAACAGTGATGGCGATGATAAAAGATAAACAATGATGATAGCCAGAAGAGATGAAAATATTTTCTTTAGAACAGATAGATACAAAGGATTTAGCGCATGAAAAGAGCCGCTGAAATGCTCATAAATATCATACACCATCACAATCACACCACAACTCCATCACCATCATCCTCTTCATCACCACCACCACCACCATCACCGTCATCATTATGACGTCACAACACCACCATTATGACGTCACAGGCAAAATCATCACCATAGAAACGGTGGGACTAAAACTACCGCGCAAACAATGGTCGACGCATGACATTAAACCGGACCAGACATGCTTTCAGGATGAATACATCCGGCATACACTGTACATCACCAGGATATATTTCTGCTACGGACCGCCGGAAGTTGAATTGATAGGTCGGAATAATATTATGGAATAATAATTATAATTATTATATTTATTATATTATTTATAGTATTAATTATTATTATTTTTTTGGTGTTGCTTTTCGTTGTTGTTGTAGTAACTGTTACAAATGTAACTGTTGCTTGGCAAGATGGTGTAGTGGTTAAAGATGTCTAGTGATTTGTTGTCTGGAGTGTTCGACTGCAAACAGATCCCAGTTTATATCATACATGATGTTCGTGATGAATTGGTTTGAACGAATTTGATTATTCATCTCTCTATCTCTCTCTCTATCTCTCTCTCTTTCTCTCTCTCTCTTTCTCTCTCTCACTCTCTTTCTCTATTTTTTATTATTAGTATTGCGTTTGATATTATTATTTCATAAGTTTTGTTGAGATGTAGCTGATTGAATGTGCTGTAGAATATGTAGATGATATGCTCAATTCAAGGATGTATTCATACAACTCCCAATTTTATTCAACCATATCTGTGTTTAAATAACTATTATTATTATTAGTATTGTTATTTATTTTTTATCATTGTTTTTTACAATTATTACTATTGATATAAGTCTTTCGTCAAATTCAACAAAAATCTTCGCAAGAACCAGCAGTCATTAATCATCAATCATTATTACTATTTTCATTGTAATTTTTCAACATTATCTCATCCAATGAACTGCTGCACATGTTGGGTTTGAGCATGCATGCAACAACGAGCACGTCTATGTGTGTGTGTGTGTGTGTGTGTGTGTGTGTGTGTGTGTGTGTGTGTGTGTGTGTGTGTGTGTGTGTATGTGTAGATGGACGTTTGTATGTGGGTATGTATGTACTCTACATGTATGTACTCTTATAAAACGTTTTTATTAAATGAACTTAATGGCATCACACCCACACACACGCACGCGCACGCACGCACATCGCCATCAAAGTCATCACCACCATCTTCATCGTCTTCCTCTTCCTCCTCTCTGAACATTTCAAATTACTTCGAACGCAATCTATCAACTGCCGAAAAAAAATGTCGGCTGCGAAGAAGCGGCAAAAAATAAATTTCTAAAAAAAAAACAAGACAAGAACGATTTTGAAGATTGCAAAAAATGTAATTTAATTTAAAAAATGGCGGGTAAAAATAATTTAATTTAAAAAATGGCGAGAAAAAAGTTTTCGAAAAACTTAGGAGTGCAGTTTCCGCCACTGCCGGTAGAAGATGATTGATGAATTTTGATATTGGACATGCGCGAGGAATCAATTTTAATAAGTGGAAAAACCCAATAACAATGTTATCATTATTGTTATTATCATTATCGTTTTTATTATTGTAGCTATAGTTTTTAATAATAATATAATAAAGATATTAATTATTGTTATTTTTGGCCAGCCTGATAGCAGTTTGTAAGAACTGATTCAAGATGTTTAGTATTAATAATATTTTATACTTAAATATTGGCAAAAAGTGTTTTTTTTTACGTTACGTTATGTTAATATTATGTTAATGTTACGTTAACTTTATGTTAATATTATGTTAATGATATGTAAATATTGTGTTAATGTCGTTGTAATGTTATGTTTTGCCTTGTTAATGCGTGGTTGATGTAGGCTACTTCGCGATGTTTATTCTCGACAGAAAAAAAAATGATAAAATGATAAATAAAAGTCTGGAAAATTATTTATAAAACACAGCGAAAATGTTTTCGAAGTTTAGTTTTTGGGAATATTTATAGGGTATAAATAACTTTCAATGGAAGAAAATTACATTCACAATTTAGAATATTTTTTAAAATAACACTCCCTCTAGAAGATAATTTGGGATTTAAAAACGGGAGTGCATGAAATAAGCAGTAGTTGGTAGTGGAATATTATTGCCAAAAATAAACATTCTAAATAAAACTTAAATTAAATGTTAATAATTCACGCCTAAATTGATCGTAATAAATACACCCACGTATACACACGCACACACACACGCAGACACACACGCACGCACACGTACACACGCAGACACGCACGCACACACACACACACACGCCTACTCATACACTCATGCCAAACATATTTCTAAATAAAAGTTCAAAAAAATGAGTGTATTCTCTTTTTAGGAGCATACTTATTTTTCGATATTTTTTCTTCACGTTGTCCATGTTTGTGTCTGTCTGTTAATGGTGAATACTTCTCTTTTTTTTCCTTAACCCTTACATTTTTTTCTGCTCTCTTTTTTTCTCTTTCACTTTCTCTCATTTTCTCTCTCTTCTCTTTCTCTCTCTCTCTCTCTCTCTCTCTCTCTCTCTCTTCTCTCTCTTGCTATCTCTATCTCTCATCTTAGATGACAAAATTTCCTCAAGACGTATTGATCTTTGTACAAGAAGAGTTTTTTGTTGATGGTGATAGTTGTGGTGATGCTAATGACGATGACGACGACGATGATGGTAGTCGTGATGATGATGATGGTGGTGATGACGATGGTGATGTGATGATGAGGATGATGTGACGATGTCGCCTAACAACGGTGATGACAAAAATTTGGATGATGATGATGACAGTAATGAAAACAATTTACGATGAAGATGATGTTAAAACATGTTAACGATATTATTATAGATCAAAATAGAATTTGAAATTTGCTTCTGCCTGCAGGACAGAAGTTTCAACGACAAATTATGCCAAAAGATGAAATTAAGCTAAACTCTTTTTTCTATATCTTTGTCAATTAACTTTTTATCATCATTATTATAATATTTATTATTAACATCATTATCATTAATACTTTTTTTGAAAAATTTTCCATCATAATTTCCACCAATAGGAGCTCAGGATTTCCTGCCTGATTTCGAAAACGCCATTCATTGGAGGAGCTTGTACAAAAATAGACCAAAGTATTCTGTGATTGGTTCAGCTCTGAGCAAGGCCAGGGATTGGATTCAGAGCGTGAGGGTGTGTACAATAGCTTGCGTAATATGAATAGATTATATTAATCTTCAAGTTACTCTGATCCCTTCAAAATTTAGAGACTAAGAAATGAAAATAATTATTATGATATATAAAAATTATGATTATTTTATTAGCTGAGTTTTTATCATCATCATCATCATCAAAAGTGTCGTCGTCATCGTCAGCATCTGCAAAACAATAAACACGCAACCCATCCAAAGCCTAACATTCCATTCATAATCTTCGAGTCAACCGTGTTAATCTGCATAACTATTTTCAATTTCCTTCTTTTGTTATCATATCTAGTGATATCATCAACGCTTGTATCATTTTTTGTATCATGATTACGTTCACCATATTCTGTGATATCATTGTCGTTTTTGGTACATAATCAACATTTGTATCATTTTTATTTATATCATAATTACCATCATCATCACCATCACCACCATCATTTTCATCTTCTTCAGCATCATCGTCGTCGTCATTTTCTTGTTCATCTTCGCCATCTTCATCATCGTCACCACCATCTTCTTCTTCTTCATCATCTTCTTCATCCTCTTCTTCATTATCTTCATTCATTGTCAACATCAGAACATAGCTATCACTAACGTACAGACCTTAGAAGCAGCGTACAAACATAGACCAGGTTTGTTGATTGTTGTTGTTAATAATAATAATAATAAATAATATTATTATTATTATTATTTATATTAATAAATTATTATTATCACCACAACTAACAGCACCATCATGACTATCATCGTCATTATTTCGTTTTCAAAACCAGGAGTGCTATTGTCCCGTAGTCATAACAACATATTGACACCGTGAGAAATGTTTCACACATACATACACACATACATACATACATACACACATACATGCATACATACATACATAAAAAGAACAAACATACAACACACACATACAGTCATACATTCACACACACGCGCTTAAACAAACATACTTGCACGTACTTTCACACATAAACACGTTACTGCATACACACGTTCATACATTCATTACATAAAATGGTCTACACATGCAAACACACGCAAACACATACATACAAACACATATACACATAAACAAACATACAAACAACAAACATACACATGCACACGTTCACATCCGCAGATACCGTCATAAATATAGAAAAATCCATTAACGCATATATATCAATCAATTAGCAGATGACGTCACTGATGAAATCGTTTGATGTTAAGTCTATTAATAACCTCAATGCTGACTACAAAGATGATAATGACGGTTGTGATGATGATGATGACGAAGATGGTGATGATGACGACGGCGACGATAAGATGACGATACGATGACGATAAGGATTATGATGAAAGCTACTGAGTGATAAAGATGACGATAATGGTAATGATGCTAATGACGACCGCGATGAAAGCTGCTGCTAGTGGTGCGGCTGCTGCTGCTGCTATTTATGATGATGATGATAATTAGTAATGTGACTAGCTGACTTTCTTGGAGGGAATTAAGTCTGGATACGTTCGTGCCTGTTGGAATGAAACAACAGGTGACTGTTGAGTCTCTGCCCACGTGATGATGACGACGACGACGATGACGATGTTAATTATTATTATCATTATTATTATCATTATTATCATTATTATTATCATTATCATTATTATTATTATCATTATCCTTATTATTATCATTATTATCATTATTATTATCATTATTATCATTATCATCATTATTATTATTATCATTATTATGAGAAAAAATGATAAAAATAATTAATGAAAAGTACGATGAAACTGAATGCTATTTCTGTTTTTATTATTATTACTAAAATTTGTATTATTCTTTCTACAGTTTTATTTTCTCCTTCCTAGTGTTATCATTATCTTATTTTTACAAAAAAAAAAACTAATACTAAATGAGTAATCAAAACAGGCGAAAGATGCAATAAAATCGTAATAAAAATAGTAGTCCTTGCTTAAGGAAGGCTGTAGTAGAAGTTAGCGTCGTTGGTTAGTAGCAATGGTAAGATTGTTTTAATCACATTATGATAATCAAGCATATCTTCATCGCTATAATCATCATCTTAGTGATTATTATTATCACCGATATCATTCTCATCGCCATCATCATTGTCCTTGTTACTACTTTCATGACGGCGATGATGATGATGATGATGAAGAAGAGGAAGATGAGGATGACGATGATGAAGAAGAGGAAGATGAGGATGACGATGATGATGAAAATGACGATGATGGTGTTAGTGATGATGAATAGCGAGTCTAGAAAATAGGAACTGTTACGTAAGCGCGAGTGAGTGCTACATATGTACCAGTCATTTATACCTATGTGATTTTAAAAAAAGAAAAAAAATTGACAGTTATGACAATGACGAAGATAATGATAAAGATGATGATGAAGATGATGACAAAGATGATGACGAAGATGACGCCTTCTTGTTCATGAGCATCGTAGTAATACAAGATAATGAAGTTGACACAACGTAATTACCCAATAATCTTATCATAATTATTTTTATCATTGTAATTATGTTTCACGATGATATATAAATAATCATTAATAATAATCTCTTATATTTTTCTCTCCTTACTGTTATTATTATTTTATTATTAATAATATTATTGTTCTTATTATAATATTATATTATAATATAATATTATATTATAATATAATATTATAAATTTATCAACGCTCACACATACACACACAAACACACTTAAACACAAACACACTTAAACACAAACACACTTAAACACAAACACACACAATATTAACGCTCACACACGCATATAAACACACAGACACACACAATACCAAATAACAACGCTCTCCCACACACACACACACACACACACACACACACACACACACAACACACACACACAACACACAATCACACAGACAGACACATACGTACACACAAAAAATATATGCACACACATAAATACTCAGACAAACCATCAGACATACACACACAAACAATCAAACATAAATATACATGCCCCACATACACGCACCCACGCACACGCAAATGTACGTAAAGTTTAAATATGTAAGCATATGATGGTCTTATGACTTTAATGTAGAATTGATGGCTGTGCATTTTTCCATTGCAGTGAGCATTTCTCTCTGGCGAGAGGCTTGTTATAATGCTTCTTTTATGTTTATGTGTGTCTTGTCTATGTACTCTTGGCATTATGTATGTATGTGTTGTATGTTTGTATGTGTTTTGTATGTGTGTATGTTGTATTTTTTGTATTTGTTTTTTTATTTTGTGTTTGTATATTTTGTATGCTTGAATACTGAAGTGTTTATAAGATGTGAGTCTGTTTTTGTTGTTCATTTTGTTTCAATATGTTTGTTTGTCTGTGTAAGCTTGTAAGCTTACGTATGCGCATGTATATGTGCCGATGTTGAAATGTACGTGAAAATGTGTATGTGTGTATGCGCGTATGTGCGTGCGTACGTGTGTGTTGGTGTTGGTGTTTGTTGGTTTGTTTGCGCTATAAAGAATGCACGTTGCTACAAGATGTTGTGTCTGCCCAATGTTCTCCATCTATCATGTTCTCTCCGCGCTTGTTCACACGTCGGTTTGTGTTCGTTTGTTTGTATGTGAAGTTGTGTTCATTCATGTTTGTTTATTTGTTGTGTATGTCTATCTATTTTGCCGTACTGACTATTTCCAAATAAATAAAACAAA